CCCCCCCCCCCGCCTACACATGCACATCATCGTTGCCTCTCTCATCTTGCCTGGTTCGTGGAGAGCGATCGAAGGCGCAGGGGCTCCCCCCTGTAGCGTGGGAGCCGGAAGCCCACAGGGGGGCATGGTGGTTAAATGCGCATGGCACCACCCGGAGTTCGGGAGACGGAGTCAGCGCCCCAGACCGGGAAAGCATTTCGACACAGAGGCTAAGATCGCCGGGGAACGTCGCCGGGAGGTGGAGAACGCTGCCTGATCGCACCGAACCGCCGCATCGGCCACGCATCTGGCCGCTGGCTGGGCGCTCGTTTCGCCCCCCGCCACGCAGCCCCGCGTCCCTCCCGGCCCGCAGGCAGTCCGTTCCGACACATTCAGGGACACAGTGACAGGGCCCCAGTGGAGGGGCCCGGGGTCCCGGCGTCTGTGAACCAACACCAGAAGGGGCCGCCTACGCAATCGATACACTATCACGGCCGGGGCTGTGGGAGGGTCCCCGGCCCCCCGCGTCCCGCGGGAGACACATGCACGCGTGCTCGGATCGGACGATACAGCGGCCCTCCACACCACTTCAGAATAATGAGGACGAGTGGGCGAGAGCAGGGGGGGGGGGGGCGGCGGGGGGATTACGCCACCGGGACCCGCGAAAGCAATCACGCCAAGCAGCAGACCAGCCCGAATCCAAATCCGGAAGGAAGCAGTTGCCCGATCGTGTGAGCTCGAGGTAGGCAGGAGGACGGGACAGGGGGCCCCAGCAGATGGGGCAGGAGGGGGCGCCCGCTTCCGTTGGCAAATCGCGCACCCCGCCTCGGCGCCATAGATGAGGAGCGTGGGCAGTCGATGGGGCCGCGGCGATCCTGATCCCCCTCACAGCCCCCCCCCCCCCCTCCCGTGCTTCCCTCCCGCCACCCGCTCGCACGCCTTTGTCGTCCTCTGTCCAATCTCGCGCAGAGCCAGGCGCCCCCGCCTTTCCTCCCTCCCCTCGCCCCCTTTCCAGATCCCCGCTGCCTGCTGCCAGGCTCCCGCTCGAGTCAGCCCACACGCCCCTTTTCGATGACCATGCCAATGCCCCCGAGCGAGACGAGCCTCTCCTCCCTCGATCAGGCCTACTTCTCCTCGTACGCCGACCTGGCCATCCACGCGTCCATGCTGTCAGATGTGAGCCGGACCGAGGCCTACCGGCGGGCGTTTACCCGTGCCGGAGAGCTCGGCCTCTTTGCCGGCAAGGCGGTGCTGGAGGTGGGCGCCGGGCTTGGTGTCCTGGGGATCTTCGCCGCGCGCGAGGGCGGCGCCCGCCATGGTGCGCACCCGGTCGGCAAGATGCTGTATGCTCCCATCCATCGCCCAACTCACACGCATGCTCATGTACACATACGTCCATTCACCCGCATGCCGGTCGGCAGTATACCTGGTGGAGGCAAGTGACATTGTCCACCAGCTGCGCAAGGTGATCGCCGCGCAGCCGGCATCAATTGCCGAACGCATTACGATCATCCACTCGCGTGTTGAGGATGCCATCCTCCCGGAAAAGGTGCGCTCGATTGCAGATCCGCGAGCCACTGCCCTCCATCTGACTCCCCTCCGCTTGCGGTGCTTTTCTGCCGTTGCCCCTGGTGCGGGTGCCGGTGCGGCGACTATTGGCTCCCGACCCGGTCCTCCGCCCCTCCACTTGATCTGCCACTACCTGACACAGGTCGATGTGATCGTCAGCGAGTGGATGGGCTATGGCCTGCTGTATGAGTCAATGCTGGACTCGGTCCTGGTCGCGCGCGATAACTGGCTCAAGGAGGTGCGCATGTGCACGCCTTCACCATGCTGCTGCTCGCCCCGGACGACAACGACACCTGACACCGATGGCCGGCCATTGGCAGGACGGCGTGCTGATGCCCTCGCGTGCCACCATCTCGGCGGCCCTTCTTGGCGATGGCGACCTGGCCATGGAGCTTGTCTACGACCCGGACGCCTGCCTGTACGCCGACCCGAGCGACCCGGGTCAGGGCCGATCTCTCGGTGACTCCCAGGCGATGGCCGACCCGCTGACTTGTTTGGAGCTGCTTCAAGAGAGTGCCAGTGCACTGAGCAACTTGAACCCGGCCATCCGCAGCCAGCGTGTCGAGCTATGGCTCGCCCTAAGGCGCCAGGCCGACAACCACGCGCGCGATCTCTGGCGGCAGATCGGCCAACAGTATGATGTGGATCTGGCACCAGTGGTGGCTCCAGTGAGGTGCGCACCGGCCCGGACCGGAGCTCTGTCCCTGGCGTCCGGTGAGGATCTCCGCCTGCTTGGGTATCTTGCCTCGCCCATTTGGTTTTGACACTCCTACTGCCCTGGGGCCTGGCCGTTCGCCGCTCCGTGTCAATGTGCTTTTTCTTTTGTCGTGGGCTGCCGGCCTCAGTCGCTCCGGCGGGGATCTCCAGCCAGCCGGCCTGCTGGCCATTGGTGCTGCCGCGGACTTTGCCGCGCGTGCTGTCCCCTTTGAGGCCAGCGTGGCGACCATCCAGCCGCCACGAGTGATGACCACCCCCTCGGTCATCTGGGAGCTGGACATTGCCAAAGCATCGCGCTCGGATCTGCTGGTGTGTACATGTGATGGGGCTGGCTCAAGTGTGGCATGGCCAGAGGGCCGCGTATTCTAACCGGAGGGGGTCCTGCCTCTTGTCCCTCGTCCTCCTGCCCGGGTTTCCGGCATCTGTGCAGGACATCTCCTGCAGCATGGAGCAAAAGGTCATCCATCTGGACGTGCCGCGGGCGGTTGGGCTTTGGTTCGACGTGCATTTTGACCTACCCGCCGCCGGGCCGGCCATCACCCTCTCCACTTCGCCCTTTGAAGAGTGCGTTCCCCCATGCGCCTGGTCCCTTTGCTGGGCATGATGTCTGTGCGACTGACTCCGAAGGAACACCCGGCGGTTCTCCCCGACAATGCTGACTGTGTGCGTGCGCGGGGGCGCGGGGGCGCGGGGGCGCGGGGGTCCTCAGGACAACACACTGGATGCAGACCATCCTCCCGGTAGCCGGTTCTTTGCACTCTCCGGCCGCCGATCGGGCCCATGGGCCGCTGGTGCCTGATGCCCAGGTGTCTTTCGCTCTGCGTCTGCACCGCCCGCATTCGGGGTCGCGCTTTCTCCTACTGGACGTGGAGGGCCTCGGTCCGGCCGACAACCCAGGCCGAACCTACTGCTACAAGATGTCCTGCGGCCCAGACTTCGACATGACTGCATGAAGGGCAGGCGGTTGGAGTGTCTGAGCATGTGTGTGTGTATGTGTGCGTATTTGTATGTGTCGGTCAGCCATCTGTCTGTGTGCGTGCGTGCGTGCGTGCGTGCGTGCGCACCCGATCACCCTGCTGGTGCATTTACTCAAGGTACTTCTGGGCGCACGGAAGTACCCCGCTCTTGTTGCTCGTGCTTTTCCCGCTCTGGCCGGGCCTCGATACGTGACGGCCGGCCGCTGCCTGCTGCATGGTCCTCCTTCAGAAGTGTAGACTACGTATGTGTCCATATATATATATGTGTATGTGTGTGTATGTGTATTGTGCTTAAAGGATGGGGAAGCTCGCAAGAAAAAGCGCGCAGGCGGACGGAACGCCCCGGCAAGCGCACATCACAAGAATGCCGAGCCCCCTTCTAGTCGTCCTCCGCGCCGGAGGAGTCTTCAAAGTCGGCATCACTGCCGGAGGCCTGGTCCGTGTACCTGGCCCCGAGGGAGGGGATATGGCTGATGGAGGGCGCCGGCGCCAGGCGCCGGCGTGGCACGGCCTGGCCGCGGGCATGGCCCTCATTGGCACTGCTGCCACTGACGCCGGTGGAGCCCATGCTCCCGGCATCGGCCATGTTCCCGGTGCTGCCCGGGGACCCTTCCCCGGGGAGGACTGTCCCGGCAATGGCGGCTCTCTGAAGCAGCAGCTGCTCTCGCTCCTCCTCGTCGGTGTCCTCGAAGCGGATGATGGTGATATCTTGGTCCTCTGGCAAATCGGACTTCCACTGGATGCCCATCAATTGACCCGTGTCCAGGGAAATGTCGCACAGGAAGCGCCCGGTGGCCTCGTTGAAGCTGGGCGGCCAGTAAAATTGCGTGGCCCAGTTGGTGTTGCTGCACATTTCGGAAGACCGCTGCCCGGCAATCAGGGCGGCTTCCATGATCTCCGGATCTGTCAGCACCCGGGGCGGGGCCGTGAGGCTGGCGTCGAGTGCATTGCGTATGCTGGCGGCCCACCGGACGTCCGTCCGGAGGGGGACATTCGTCTGGGCCACCGGCACGGGCCCCGGGCTGGGTCCCGGGCTTGGGCCGACTCCCGGCACCACGACCGTCGCCGTGTCGGGGGGCCTGGGCAGTCGCAGCAAGTCGGCCGCCTGCTGCTGGCCCACCTTCCGGGCCCAGAACCGAGCCAACACCCGGGAGGTGGACAGCAGGGTGGCCGTTCCATCGGACGCCGCGCAGCTGGGCACGATGCAGGAGTATGGCTTGTCTTGAATGCTGAATGTTTGCTGGGTGGGCGAGTCCTCCGGGAGGATGCCCAGCGAGGTGGCCGCATTCCGGGGGCTGAAGTTGGGCGAGTTGCCGGGCTTCCCCGGGGCCGCGGTGGACCCGGCCTCCGGCGAGGCACGACCATCATCATGCACCGGGCACGGCCTGCCCGGGGGGGTGGGCCCGGCTGCCTGCACCGGGGCATTGACCTTGTCAGGCCCGACGCCGGCCGGGCCGCCATCGGCCGCCACGCCGGCCCCGGCGGCTCGCCATTCCGGGCCGGCGGACCCCAGCAAATCCGCCACAATGATCTCCAGCCACCGGGTGGCCAGGGCATCGGTCCGGCGGACGGCCTTGCGGATGTGCTCGGCAATGGCCGCCTCCAGCACCTCGCGCCCGAGCTTCGGCAGAGCCCGGCGAACCATGGTATACAGGGCGCTGTGGCGGTCGCCGCGAATGTTGGTCAGCTCGAGGGCCCCGATGCTGACGCGCACGCGCTTGGTCTTGAGCAGGCTCCGGACCCCGGCCAGGCTGGCCAGCGCGGCGGCCGGGTTGCCGAAAACCCCGCCACTGGCCAACGATGCGCCCCGGCCCCCGCGCAGGCCGAGCATGCTTTCCACCAGGCGCGCCGGCTGGAGATTGGTCGATACCCACAGGTCGACGGCCATGTCGCGCACGGTGACATCCACGTGCCCGGAGTCCCGGAAGCGAGGCCATGTCTGGCGCGAATAGCGGAACCCCACGCGCGGCACCTCGATGGTGACGCCACGCATGCTGACATGCGTGGCGCAGGTGAAGCTCCGTCGATGGGCCTCCCGCCGCCGGCGCTCGGCCAGCAGGTCGTCCAGGTACTCGGCCGCATGGCGGCTGCGCATGCCGAGAGCATGGATGTGTGCCGCGCTGGCCCGCTGCCGGAGTACACTTGCCTCCGTGGACCCGGGCCCGGGCCAATCGCCGGCTGGCCTGCCGCCGCCGCCGCCGCCGCCGCCGGCGTCACCGTCCAGGGGGTCCGCCGCGGCGGAACTATTGGCAGCCACCGCCGCCGCCAGGGCCTGCGCCGCCTGGCTGGCCTCGAAGCGTGCGGCCTCCAGGCGAAAATTAAACTCCTGCTCATCCTGCGCCTCGAGGCTGATGGAGCTGCTGGAGCTCAGCAGGCTACTGGCGTCGGGACTGCTGGGGCCGCTGCTCTGGCTGCCGGCACCTCGGACATCCTCATCGTCAGTGCTGCTGGCCGAGCCCGAGCCCCTCAGGGCCGAAGCCGAGCGGGCCTTTCCGCGCCCGGCATCCAGCCAGCTGACACCGACGCCCAAGCCTGCGGGGACATCGCCGGCATGGGCACCGGACGCGGCCCGGCGCCGGGCCTCCTTGTTGACACGCTGTATCTCCCGGCGCTGGGCGCGCACGCGCTCGCGCCGCCGGCGGATGGCCTCCTTTTGGCGCCGGGCCCGGTGACGCTCGATGGATGTGGCCTGGCGGAGTTCGCGCTCCTTGCGCTGCTCCCGGGCCATGTTGCTGCGGAGGTAGTTCTCGGCACGGGTGCGGGTGCGCACTCGGCGCTCCTTCTCCAGCTGCACGCGCCCCTGGTGGTCGGTCTTCGGGGTCCGGACGCCGCGCTCATTCATGCCGAATGGCCGTGCCGAGTGCCATGCCTGTGCCGGGCGCGACATGGTCGTCGCATGGGTGGCGTTCGAGGCGTGGGCTGCCCCGATCATGGCCGCCTCCAGGGGCATCCCCCCACCGGTGACGGATGTGGCACCGGCCATGCCGCCAAGATGCTGGTGCTGCTGCTGCTGCTGCTGCTGCTGCGAGGCCGAGCCGGGTCGCATCTCGGCGTCCAGGCGCGAGGGGTCCTTGCGCGATGCCTCGACTTGCCGGTCAAAGGCGCGGCCCGGGTCCAGGTGCGAGACACTGCGGTTGGAGATGCGCACTTTGCGCGGGGCGATGGCCGCCCCCCGGACGACGACCGCGTCGAAGGCATACTCATAGTCGCCGGACCGGCCGGCGATCGGCGGCACGGCCACATGCACCAGCTGGTCGATGACCATCGGCAGGAGGAGGCCGCGCAATTGGCCGGCAATGCCGGCACGCAGGCCAATGCGCCGACGCCCGCGACGAGTGCGCACCGGGGCCCTGATGGCGGCCTCGACGGCCGCGCGCTCGGCCAGCTCCGGGCTGGCCCCGGCGTCGAGGGCCACCGCGCGGGCGGTCTCCGCCGCAATCGACACCCCGAACTGGCTCCACTCGTCGGACCAGACAAACATGGCGTCCAGCAGGTCGCTCAATGACCGGGTCAGCCGGTGGAGGGTGGTGTCGGCCGCCAGGCAGGACAGCAAATCCTCCACCTCGCGTGACAGGCCGAAGAGCATGGTCCGATACCGGAGCAACACCCGCCGGCTGTCGGCGAAGAGGATGGCAATGGCCCGCTCGAAGGCCAGTCGGGTGTGGAAGGCGCCGAAGGGCTCGCGTGGACCGGACACCTTCGGCCCGCCGGGGACATGCTTGATTTGGGGCGACGCCGTGGCCGCCACCGAGGCGGCGGCTGTTTGGCTGATGCCAACCGTGCGACAGGCGCAGCCGTACCGCTGGCAGCGTTGGATGCCGGCCGGCCGGGGGAGCGAGCCATTCAAATCCGCCGAGGCCCGGGGCCCGGACACCCGGGCCCCCGGCGGAAGACCCGACACCGGCATGGAGCAGGTGCATGCGCTGGACCGGCCCCGGCGCCGGGGCTTCCGCCCGCCAGGGGGGCTGCCGCCGGAGCTGGGCCCAGGTGCCGTCGGCTCGGTTCCCTTTTCATAGCCAATGCCAGCCACCACCACGAGGTTGAAGCGCCCGACGCCATAGCCCTCGATGAAGTTCCCCGGGCGCTGGAGGGCGCTCATGATCAGGCACCATGTCCCGTGGAGGAGGAGCCCGAGCTCGGGATCGCGCTGGACCCGGGCCCCGAAGGCCCGCCAGCCATTGACCAGCGGGTCGAGGGATCGATTCATGGCCAGCGACTCGAGCAGGCGCTGGGCCGCGGCCCGGGCCCCGGCTTCGGCTTCGGTTTCGTGGCCACGCACGCGCACCCGGCGGCGCTCCTGCCGCGTCAGTCGCGGGCTCACTCGGGGGAAGTCGTCCACGGTGAAGGGGTCGTCCGGCCGGATGCCACCCGGGCCCGGGGGCTGGCTGGAGGATGCCCTGTGGGGGAGGGCTGCTTCGTCGGCGAATTTGACGCTTGGCCGGGGGGGCGGCGGGCCACTTGGTGGGATGGCCGCGGCCGTGGCCGCGGCATTGCGCAGGCTCACGCCGGCCGACGGGCTGGCCGGGTTGCTGGTCGGCCCCTGCGAGGCCACCAGCGTGGCCAGCGAGTCGACCGATGCCATGTTCTCCAACTCGGTCGAGGCCAGGGCGGCTTCCTCATCCGGGCGGGTGGCCGCGCCGCCGGACGTGGGCGGCATGCCGGCCATGGCAAGTGCCTCGCTGATGGCGGCCGCCGGGGCGCTCCCCCGGCGGCGCCAGGGCCAGGCGCCAGCATGCCGGGCCCCCTGGTCGCCGGGCTCCGGCGTCGGGGTCACACTGGCCGGGACCGTGGTGTCCCCTCGCCGGGCCGGCATCGACGGCACGTCGGGCCCCCTTGCCGGGGGGGTGGAAAGATTTGGCACCGATGCCCGGCGCCCTGCGAGCCGGGAGGGCCCCGCACCGGGGCCCGGGGGCGCGTGCGACGGCGACGCCGGCGGCGGCGACGATGAGGAGCCGCCCTGTAGCTTGAGCTTGCGAAGGATCTTCCCGAAGAAGCCACTTGGGGTGGTGCTTCGTGAGGTCGCCGGCTGGGCACCGCCATCGACGCTGGGGGCGGAGTCGGTGGTCAAGGGGGCATTGGCGGAGCCGGCGGCGGACGCCCCATGGGTGGCGGCGGGCCGCGCGGCGGTGGAGGAGGACCGGGCGGCTGCGGCCGCGGCGGCCGCGGCGGCCGCTGCGGCCCCGACCGGCCCCTGGCGACGGGCCTGCTCCTGGTCCCGGCGGTCGCGCATGGCCCGGCGCGTGTCATAGTGCGACTCGACCATGAGCGATGCCAGCATGGCCACGCTTTCGGCCCGGCGAGGATTGGCCTTGGCGCGCTCGATGAGATTGACCAGGCGGCGGATCATGTCGCGCTGCTCGCGCGGCGTGACCCGCGCATCGGGCGACAGGAACCGCGGGTCCACATTGCACAGCCGATCATTGTCGAAGCCCGGCTTGGGGGGCTGGGCCTCGGCATTCGGCCGCGGCGGTGTCACCGACCCGGCCTCCGCTACGACCAAGCGCCCGGGCGAGCGCTCGACCTGGTCCCAGGCCTCGGCCGCGGCCGGGCTGATGGCCGGCTGGCCCAGCATCAAGTCTCGCGGGCTGAGGGTCACCGGGCCGTCGCCGCCGCGGCCGATAAAGCTGTCCGTCAGGCTGACGCGGGCGTCGCCGCGGGCTGTGGCCCGGGCGCCGGACGCCGCGTCGGGCGAGGAGCCGGCCGCCGCCAGGGCCTGGCGCTTTTCGGCCAACATGGCCGCCGCCACCTCCGGATCATCGGTGGCCTTGGGGATGTGCGCCAGCAGGGAACGCGCCTGGCCATGCCCCGGCTTCGGCGACACGGGCGTGAGGGGCCGAGCATGGGCCGGGGCGCTGGGCGAGGGGGCCGCGTGTGCCGGGAGGACCGGCGCGTCGGGCACCAGGCCGGCTGTGCCCGACGCCGGGAGAACCGGGTTGAAGATGATGCCCGGGCCCTTGGGCCCTGCCGGGGGAGGGGCCGTGTCGCCGGGGCCCGGGCCCTTGGTGTCGGCTTTGGCCCCGGTGATGGTGGTGGCCAGGTCGATGACCAGGCGGCTGTCGGTCCGGTCGGCGCCGGCCTCGGCGGCGCGGGCCGCATTCCCAGCCAGGGAGGCGAGATTCTCCCCACGCATGGCGGCCGCCACCTTTTCGGCGCGCGACAGCCCCGGGTCAGTGACCAACTGGGCCAGGCGATCGCCGAGACCGGCATATGCCGCGGCGGCGGCCGCCCGTTCGGACTGCTGGCCTTCCAGGCTCCGGACCATGTCGGCGGAACCGCTGTACAGGGCATCATGCATGAGCCGCACCGAGTCCGTGACCAGGGTCCGGAGCTCGCGATCAAAGATCAGGCTCCGGGTCAGGGCGAAGAAGTCCACCCGGACAATGCCCAGGGCCCGGGCCGACCGGTGGGCATAGAAGGGCCCGAGGGCCCGGACCAGGCGGTCGGCATCGGACATGGCGGTGCCGATGCCCCCGTAGCCGGCCTCCACCAGCCGGCGCTCGGCCTCGGCGGCCTTGCGCGCCGCGATGTTGGACACCCGCGCATCGCGGACCAGCTGCTGCAGGGCCTCGTCGCCGTTCTTCTCGACGAGGGTCGTCAGCAGGGCCGCCAGAAAGGCATCCAAGGCATCGACAAAGGTCAGGGGATTGGCCGGGGGCAGGCTGGCCGGGGAGATGGGCATCGATTGCAGGTTGGGATGTGGCCCGGGCCCGGGCCGCGACCGGTCCCCCTCGCGTGTGGCCCATGCCCACCGGGGCCCGGGCCCGGCCGGCGCCCCGGAGCCCGGAGCCGCCCCACTCGGCACCCTCGGGGGAAAGATGAAGCGGTTTTGGTCGGCACCACGCAGGGGCCCGGCATAGCCGGTGTGATTGGTCCGACGGGGCGATCGCCCCGGCGCGGGCCCGGTGCTGGATCCGCCGAAGGGGCCGGCGCTGGGGGGCCCGGCCGGGCCGCGCGTTCGCCCGGCATCCGGGCCGAAGAGCCCGGTCTGGCGCAAGCGCGCCAGCGTGGCTCGAGCCCGTGTGAGGATCAATTCCAGCTCGCTGTTGTGGGGAACCAGCCCGCGGCGCATTGCCAGGCCGGCCTGCAGGGCCGAGGCACGGCTGGCTGCCTCGGCGGCGTCGGCGGCCGCGGCCCGGGCCATGCGCATGGCCCGGAGCCCTCGCTCGGCCCGCTCCTGGCTCCACCGTGCGTGGGCCTGGCGGATTTGTTTGATGCGCTCCTGTCGGGCGGCGGCCTCGGCCGACAGGGGCCCCTGAACGGGCGGATCGGCGGCGGCGGCGGCGGCGTCAGCGGCGGCGGCAGCGGCGGCCGTCACCCCGGCCGAGGCGCCTCCCTGGCTGGCCGTGCTGCCCCGTCGGCTGGCATCATTGGCCGGGGCAACCCCGGGCTGGGGGGCCCGGGGGGCCCGGGGGCCATGGGCGGGCCGGGAGCGTGGCGTGGCGGCTGGCGGGGTGGCGGCGGCCGCACGCCGGGCCCACCCACGTTCTTGGCGACTGGACTTGGGCAGGCTGCCCTCGGAGCGGCTCAGGAGGATCGGCCCGTCCTGGGACACGAGAGACCCCGGCTGCCGGCCATCGCGCGCGGGGCTCTCGGTCCCAATGCGCAAGGGTAGCGGCCGCTGGAAGGACAGTCGCCGGCGTTGGGGCGCGGCCTCGGCGCGGGTGTCCACATTGGATGCCTCGGCCACCAGGGTGTCGGTCGAGCCGGGCGCCGGGGCGGGGACACTATCCTCGGTGTCCGCGGCCCCGGGGGCCGGGGCTGAGGCAGGCATGTGAACTGGTGCGGCGGTGGTGGCGGCACCGGCGGCGGCGGCGGTGGCGGCGGTGGTGGCAGCGGTGGTGGCGGCGGCGGTGGCGGCAAGGTCGGCCGCCCGGCGCGCTGCCTCCCTCGCCACCGGCCCCATGTCCGCCGGCTCCTGCGGCGACGGGGGGTCGGAGCTGGGAACATCCTCGACGATGATGCTGGGCGCCAGGGTGGCATTGGAGTCATTGCCATCGGCCTCCTGCGGGGCCAGGGTCTCCACCGAGCCGGGGGAGTGGGCCGCCTGGGCATCCAGCACCGGGAAGCGTGCCAATGGCGATCCCAAGCGCGGGAGATGGCCCAGGGAGCTGGTCCGACTGAGGGGACCACCAGCAGGCGGCTCCAGCCCGGTGTTGGTGGCCACGCGCAGGGCCGCCAGCGGGCGCGGGCGCCGGGGAGGCACCATGGATGCTATGGAGGCCGGGGCCTCGGCATTCAGAGGCGGCGGCCGGCCGTGGGCAAGCTCAACCAAGTCGGCCAGCGACCCCTCGCGGGAGAGGCGGCGGAGCTCCACATCCAGCGCCTGGTGCACGGCATCCGCATGGCTGAGCCGGGGGCTCCGGCCGCCGGAGGGCGAGGCAGGCCCCTCATCGGCCGGCAAGGCATGGGCAAAACTCCGGCCCGGGTCTGCCAGCGCGTGGGGCGCTGGCGCCGGCGACTCCTGTTGGTGTTGTTGCTGCTGCTGATGTTGCTGCTGCTGATGTTGCTGCTGCTGGTGGTGGTGCTGTTGGTGCTGGAGGATCGGGGGGGCCCGAAGCTCCGGGTCACCTCCCGGGTCGCCAGTGGCCATGGTGGCCGCGGGCGACGCAGGCGCGGAGGCCTGCTTCAGGGGCAGAGGTCCGGGCGGGTCCAGGCGAGTCGCGGCATGGCCTCGAGGGCCGGACACAGGGGGGAACGTGCTTGCCCGGGTGGTCGGGCTGCCGGTATTACTGTGGGAGGGGGAATCACTGGGCGACGAGATGCCGGGGATCATGGATCCATCCATAGGTAGGGAATGTGGCGGGGGGGGGGGGGACGGTGGAAGGCGCAGATCGGGCGACCCGCGACACCGGGAGGGTGTGTGTTACAGGGAAGACTCCGATGGAGGCTACGCCGAGGGAGGATGCCCCCACCAGTGGATTGCAGAGGCGGAAAAAGCAAGTGGCAGGAGGGCAGCGGGGGATGGAGAAGGGTGCTCCCTCCTGGAGTCCCCTCCTCGAGGGGGGGGCTTCTTGTTTCCCGCTCCCCCTCTCCCCTTCTCTGTCTGGCCCTGCTCCTCCGCAAAATTGAATGCACGGCGAGGGAGCCAGACCGTGAGAGGGCGAGAGGGGGCCTGAAGCGCCATCTCCATGCCTTGCCCTATTCCCCCCCCCCCCCCCCTCCTCCTCCTCCTCCTCCGCCTCCTCCTCCGCCTCTTCTCCTGGCAAAGGGGCACGCCCGATGCCCGGAATGCGGGAAGGGCCTTTTTCTCTGGCCGAACAGACTCCCCACGCAGTTGTGGGCTTGGGAGGGGGGAGGGCCGGACGCTCGAAAGGGCATTGCTCCCTGTGTGTCGTCGGCACCCCCGGATGCGCCGCCGCAGCCATCTAGATCTCGAGGAACCGCGATGGGGCGGGGCGGGGCGGGGCGGGGCGGGGCCGCGGGCATCGGGACACATGCGCGCGAATGCATGAAAATGCGTGGGCGCACGCGTTCCTTCGGCCCCGCTCCCGCCATGAGGGAGCCGGTGACATCGGCCCGGGGCAGGACTATGGACAACCGCGTCCCGATGTCACCCCCGCCGAGGGTCGCGGATTAAGCCTCGAGCGGTTGTGGTGTGATGGTTAAGGCTAAACTGAGTGGGTGTGGTGCGTATGTCGGTCAGGTGATTGTCCTCCTCGGACCTAACTCCCTGGACGTGCCGTTTACATGTGCCGGCTTTTTCGGGGAGCCAAACTAGGGTTTTTCATCGGGGGCCGCCCCGGGCCGGCGGCTGGCGGGCGAGGCAAAGGGAGGCCCTCGGCACAGGGCGCGGCGGCCCGGGACAGAAACAGAGACAGAGGAGGCTGGGGGAAAGTGGCGGTACTACGAGGGGTGTCGCATTGTCCCACACTGGTGGGTGTCCCCCCCCCCCCCCCCCCCTCTCGCCTGGCGTGGCACGAGGCCGGCGACCGACTAGCATCCCCCGCCCCCCGGCACCCCGGGGGGCGGGGCGGGGCGGAAGAGGGGCCAGCCATGTGGGCGCAGATGGACATGGTTTCTCTTGGGGGTTTTACGCGCGCGCGCGCGCGCGCAATCGCTCCCTTTCCTACACAAGGAACGACAGAGGGTGCGCCGGCTGTCTGGTGCCGGCGCCTCGAATGATCGACCAGGGCGGTGGAAACGTGCCTGGGCGCCCCTCGCGCCTCCACTTGCGGGCTCCCTTGCGCTCTCCCGTGTGTTCTCCCGTGTATTCTCCCCCCCCCCTCAGGGACTCTTCGGGAACATGCCGCCTCGTTGGAGAAGCTGGCAGTGCCTGGCGCGACAAAGGAGATGCTGGTGCTGGTGGCCCCGTGCGAAAAGTGGGGACGGGCTGTGAGGGACTTCCCCCTCCACGGGCTGTGTTTCTTGGAGGGTGGCAGGGCGGCAGGCGGGAGGCCCGTGCGGCATGACTCCACAGGCCGGGGGGGGGGGGGGCCAGGCACCTGGAACGCGGGCCAAGTTGCAAGTGTGACACCCACTCATCATTCGACGTGGGGGGCGAAGTATGGGGCGGGGGGGGGGGCAAGGAAGGCGGCGCCGCATTCATATGGACCCGAGGTCGCGTGGGGCCTGCCTCAGGCGAGAACAACTACATCTGGTGTCCTTTGCTCCTCTGTATGTCTTTTGCCCCCCCCCCTCCCTCGCTCCTTTTCCCTCCCCGCCTGTCTGCTTGTGCGCCGGATGCTGGCTTGCGCACGCGTGCGGCCCCTGGACAGGGGCGCCATGCTGGCCGAATCTCCCTCCCCTCCCCTGTCGGTGTTGACTGTGCTGATGGGGCCCCGTGCTGGGGCGGGGGGCGGGCCATGTGCATATGCCTCGGCGCGGTCAGCGCCCTGTGGCATGGATGTGCCCTGCCCCCCTTCGTCCTCTCCTGCCGGCCTCCCTCGCCGGCCCCTCCCTTTCCCATGAACACGCTGTCGATGGGACCGGGGAGCGGGGGCAGGCCGGGGACGATGAACGACAAGCACACACACGCACACCCAAGATCCACATCCTCTACGTCGCAGCTGGCGATCATGCCGCCCCACCGCAGCCCACTCACACGATACCCTCTCTCTACCCCCCCCCCCTTCCCACACGCGCACACAGCCGACGAAAGCACCCATTGCAGTCACAGACAGTCATGTCTCTCTTCCGCCTTGCCACCTCCGCCACCCCGGCCATCGCCCGCTTCGCCGGTATGCAGCCCCTCCGTGTCCCACCCCGCCCCGCTCCATTCCCCCCCCCCCCCTCAGGCACCTGACCCCTGACACGCATGCACACGCCCAGCTGCCCGCGCCTACTCCACCCAGGTGAGCGGCCGCCTGGCCGATCTCCTGCGTGCCGAGCACGACTACGAGACCAAGCACGTCGAGGAGCCCCCTGCCGTGCCCGAGGGCTTCTCCATCGTCACCAAGCCCGGCTCGACCAACGTCATGATGACCTCCAAGTTCAACGACGAGGAGGTGCAGATCTTCTTCCAGGTCGCCAAGCAGGACGATCCGTCCGAGGGCATGGACGACGAGGAGGGCGGCGAGCAGTTCAACAACCAGAACGTCCCCCACGCCCCGTTCGTGGCCAACATCATCCGCCGCGGCGGTGAGAACCCCGGTGTTCTGGCCTTCGAGCTGATCGCCGACGACGGTGACATCTACATCGATGGCATCTACTTCGGCAAGGACATCGACGTCATGCTGAGCCGCGAGCTGAACGACGAGTACAAGCGCTCGCTCATCTACTCCGGCCCCAACTTCAACACCCTGCCGGAGGATCTCCAGCGCACCTGGTTCGAGTTCCTCGGCGAGCGCAAGATCGACGCCGCCATGTCGGACTTCATTCCCCAGTACATTGACTACAAGGAGAACAAGGACTACATTGGCTGGCTCAACGACATCAGCCGCTTCCTCAAGTAAGCACAAGTGCACACCAAGCAGCGCGCGCGTGTGTGTGGCTACCACCCTATCTCCCTCCCTCTGTGGGCCCCTCCCCGCCCCCCTCCTGTCTGTGCCCTGGCGTCGGTGCGTGTGCGCCCGCCCGCGCCCGCCCGCCCGCCCGCCAGGGTGTGCATGTCTGTCGATGGCGTGCGGAGAAGAGAGGGGGCCGTCGCGCGTCGCGTCCCCTTCCCCCCTTCCATGTGTGCGAGTGCGCACGTGCACCGCGCGCCTCCCTCCAAAAATCCCCCCCTTTGCCCATGACATAAACCCGCAATACCTTGTGTATGTGCCCCGCATGCGCGAATGCGTATCTCCCTTCCCCTTGTCGTCCTCCCTTTGTGTGCTTATGTGCGTGTGCGTGTATGCCCCCGCCCCATGCATGGGGGCGGGCGGGGCGGGGATCGAGAGACAGAGAGAGGGAGGGAGGCAGGCCGTCGATGTCGCCCGGGGGGGGGGGGGAGAAGTGATGGGCCCCGCTCAACCCGATGTTGGGCCCTCCCTCGCTGCCTGGGAAACTGGGGAAGACCGATGACACGCGCCCTGGGGGCGGCCTGGTGCTGCGGGGCCACGCCCCCTGGCCGAATTCCTGCGCTGGCGGCCGCGAGGGGGTGGGGTGGGACCGTGAGGGGAGAGTCGGCGCCCTGGGCCCAGGCGGCCCCCACGTCTTCAGAAACGGGGGTGCCCGGGGGCCGGGGGAGCACACACACACACACAACGCCACGAACGTACGGGCAGGGAGGGGGTCGCCCCGTGGGGGGGGGGGGAACCACCGGCGGAGGGGCGCCCGCAGGGCAGGTGCACCCCGCGGCAGAAAAGGGCTGGCTCCGGAGGACAGCCGACCGGGGGGGGGGGACGGAAGCGCCACGCACACGGAAGCGCGTACGGCGATATACCTCTTTCCTCTTTGGCTGAGTAACAAAAGGAGCGCCAGGATACCCCCCACCCCGCGAACAGGCGTCAGGGCCGCATGATGGGGCGCGCGCGAGCCCCGGCAACAGCAACCTCGTTTCCGCAATGAGAAAGGAGGTCGTGGGCCGTCCTGCGGCCGAGGGGGGCGCACACGACCGGCCGCCAGCGGCGAGTGCGTGCGCCACTGGGGCCCCCCTCCCCTGTGCGCGGCCGGCTGCCGGAGAGGAGGACTTCCCCCCCCCCCCCCCACACACACACACGCGCCGGGCCTGGATTGACAGGGGGAGGACACAGCGGGAAAGGGAAGCACACACCCGGCACACGACCTCTGCCCTGGGCGCCAAAAGCTGGGGAGGGGGGGGAGGGACACTCGGGTGGGGCATAACCCCCTCCCCGGGAAAACGGCAAAGAGAGCCACACAGACAAAGGGGCATCCCCCTCCCCCACTTACACACGTTGCGCCACCGCGCCCGGGGGCGAGATAATCCCCGCACGAGCATGGAATCACACACCCACAGGCAGGGGGAAAGAGAGAAGGAGCGACGCGGGAAGAAAGAAGTGGATGGATGGCCCCCCCACCTGCCGCCTGCGTGCGCAGGCCTCCCCCCTCCCCCTCGACCCGCGCGCCGCTCTCGGAGAGAAGAAAGGAGACGGCCCAGGGGAGATTACGCACGCTCGCTTCAGGGGGGGCGCGCGCGCGCGCGCGAACATGGTGGAGCGGAGGGCAGGACAGGGGGAGAGAGAAAGGGAGAGACTTTCAATTATTAAACTGTGTGGTGTTAAAAAAACACCGGGGGGGGTTGGGGGAAAAGAGAGAAGAGAGACGCGGTGGTGCATGTGCTATTTCCGGAAGCACGACCCCCGACGCGGGGGGGTGTGCTAGCAGGCGGCTACATGGCACGCAGGGGGGGTGTCACTCTGCCTTGCTCTTTGGGTGGGGGAGGGAGGAGAGGAAGCGGCCCTCTCGGACGAGAGAGGGGGGAATATGTGCGTGCGCTCGCGGGCATACACATATGGCCCCCCGCTCAGGCGGAGAGCGGGACACCCGAGCACATTGGGCGTGTGTGAGGCATTTAGTTGATGCGCTCACCACGGATGCGGCGGGCCAGCTGGATATCCTTGGGCATGATGGTCACACGCTTGGCGTGGATGGCGCAGAGGTTGGTGTCCTCGAAGAGGGAGACCAGGTAGGCCTCGGTGGCCTCCTGGAGGGCACCGATGGCGGAGGACTGGAAGCGCAGGTCGGTCTTGATGTCCTGGGCGATCTCACGGACCAGGCGCTGGAAGGGGAGCTTGCGGATGAGCAGCTCGGTGGACTTCTGGTAGCGGCGAATCTCACGCAGAGCGACGGTACCGGGGCGGTAGCGGTGGGGCTTCTTGACACCGGAGGTGGGGGGGACGGACTTGCGGGCGGCCTTGGTGGCAAGGTGCTTGCGCGGGGCCTTACCACCGGTGGTCTTGCGGGCAGTCTGCTTGGTGCGGGCCATCTTCGGAGAGAGGGGAGGGGGCGACGGGAGGAGGGGGCTGGTGGGTACACACAGGAAGGAATACACAACAGTTGGGGGTGCTGATCCATTGGGGAAGAGGGTTACCGATGACGGGCGCTTATATACTCCCGACCGGCCCACGGGCCGGGGACCGTCGCGCAAGCGGGTTCCAAAATCCCCGCGGCGCTCGACCCGGGGTCCGCGCACCCCCCTCCCGCCCCCCCCCCCCACACAGGCGCCCGAGGCCGCGGGCGCGGCGACGCGCACCCGAAGGGAGGGCAACACACGAGCCCCGCCCGCCCTCCAGCGACGCCGGGGGTCGCCGGGGCCCTTCGCCCTGGACGGGCTCTGTGGGGGGACACGCCCCACCCCCGGGCACGGGGCAGTACTCGACGCCGCTAGCCCCCGTCTCCCGGGGGGGGGGGGCGAGCGGCGAGACAGGTACGACGGCCGGGGCCAGCGCGCCGCTGCCAGACCCGGACCCCGGAGCGTGTGCCCGGCCGCTTGCCGTGATTGACCGGCGCCGGGCGTTGGCGCGGCCAAAATCACCGGGCGGGGAGGGTATCGCGATAGCGGGCGCGCGGCGGCCTCCCCCCCCCCCCGGTCGGGCCGGGCCCGTAGACGGGCGCGCGCCAAAACACCGGCCCCTCCCCCGGCACCCGGCGCCCGAGCGCGCGCGGGGAGAGGGGGGCGGCACGCCCGTCGCTGGGTTCCAAATGCCACTCCCAGTGAATAACCACTGGAGCATGTGCGTGCACGAGCGCGTGACCGTCCACTTCGGACCCTCTCCGGGGGGGGGCGGGGGGCGGGGCTCGGCTCCTGACACCCCTCGGCTCCCGGGGAGGGAAGATTGGGACACGGTCAGCACGATCGAGGAGATTGGATATGCTGAGAGGGAATATATATCCAGCACTTCTGGTGTTTTTTCGTTGATATCCCCTTTGTTCGGGCCCCGCCGGATTCGCACCGGGGGGTCGGGGGGCCGGGGAGAGGCGCGGGCCCCAGGGGCGGCCTACAGACATTCCCCGGGAAATGGTCCCGACGTCCGCCCCGGCGGGCGGGCGCGCAGCCTAGTGTTATTACCTGAGGGCACATTTGGAACCCACCCACACACTCTCCGCTCGGCATGCCCCCGGGCGTGTATGCGGGCGTTCTCCCTGCCGCCGTCGCCCCCACGCGCGGCTCCTGGCCTTTGCCCTGTCCCTCGGGGGTGGGGGTTGTTCCCCCTCCCCCCCCCCCGGGAGAGGGGCGCGGGGCGGGTGGCCGCTGGGCGCGCGTGCCCGGGGTGTGGTGGGGGGGGGGCCAGCACGCGCGGGACCAGCACGCGCGGGACCAGCACGCGCGGCGGCCCATCTCCGGGAGGCGGGGCGGATTCCCCCGGGGGCGCCGGGCGGCCGCGCGGGGGCTCCGGCTCCTCGGCGGGCGGATCTTTGGAACCTGTCGCTCGCAGGCTCGGTATATTTAAGCATGGGCCACTTGGGCTCACTGTTCAAGGGTTGGTCATCCCCTCTAGTATCTCACACTCAGGCTTGCCTTGTGTGATTTCCCCTCTCTCTTCTTCCTTCAACCTCCTCCTCTCTCCCCCCAACAACTGTAATCATGTCTGGCCGTGGTAAGGGTGGCAAGGGCCTCGGTAAGGTCGGCGCCAAGCGTCACCGCAAGGTCCTCCGCGATAACATCCGCTCCATCACCAAGCCCGCCATCCGCCGTCTGGCTCGTCGTGGTGGTGTCAAGCGTATCTCCGCCCTCATCTACGAGGAGACCCGCTCCGTCCTCAAGATCTTCCTCGAGAACGTCGTCCGCGACTCCGTCACCTACACCGAGCACGCCAAGCGCAAGACCGTCACCGCCACCGATGTGGTCTACGCTCTCAAGCGCCAGGGCCACACCCTCTACGGTTACTAAGCGTCTGCTTCGCCGTGAGCACGCGCCCTCCCTCCGCCATGGTCCTCCTCCTTGGCGCGCGATGGGCAGTAGAAAAAAAAATATCCAAAAGCCTCAGTATCTTCCCTTCGTGTGTGCTGCACGCGCCGCGTGCGCGCGCCCGAGCACGCCTCCCCCGCCTCGCTCCTCTAGTAGCAGCGACGGCCTGAGTCGGCCAAGCAGTGTCCTCTGAGACTCTCTGCTTTCCTTCTCACCCAACACAACCCCCCCCCGGTGTTTTCTAACACCACACAAATTAATAATTGAAGCTTCTCCCTTTCGCCCTTTCGCCAGCTGTCTTCCCGCTCGGGGGAGCGGCGGAGAGAGGGGCGACTGCCGCGCGTCATCCCATTCTCGCCTCTTGTCAACCGGTGTGCTGGCCATTGGCGCGTGTCCCTCCATGCTCGTGTGCCCGCCTGGGTGTCGGCTGGGCCCCGGGTGTCCATTTCCGGCTGGCCGGCATTCTTGGGGTCGGAATCCCGTCAACGGGCGGGGGGGGGGGGAGGACGAATCCGCAAGCGCATGAGATCGGCCTCCTCGGCCGCGAGCATGCCCGCCGGCCAATTTTGCGCGGCCCCTCGCCCGCCCCGGAAAGGTGGCCTCATCGCGCGGGGCGCGTGTGTGCCCCCAGGTTCCCGGGCGCATGCGACCCTCGGGGGGGTCCCGGCGCTCCCCTCCCCTCCCCGGTGTCCCCTGGCGAGAGGCGAGCGAGTGGTCTGTCGCCCCGCCATGTTGGACGATGTTCATCTAATGTGTGTGTGTGTGCCTGCCGCCAGGGGACAGGCTGGCCGAGGGAGAGAGGCATCCCCCCCGGCACATACGGCCCGCGTAGGGCGCACCATCCCGCCGGGGAGGATGGCCCCCCCCCCCCCCCCGACGACCCCAGCATCTGCGCCCCGCCCGGGAGGGAGAGGGCACCACAAAGTCCGTGCCTCCCCGCCGTGACAGCGCGCGGGACTTGGTGCGGCACCAGGATGCGCCGTTTTCGCCAGGCCGCCCCTGCCACGGTCAACGGGCGGGTGGGTGGAGGGGGGGGGGATATGACGTGCTCGGGCCGTATATTTGTGCCCTGCCTTCTGGCGCGCCCCCCGCGTCCCTCCCCCACCCCGGCAGCGGCGGCGGCGGCGGCGGCGTGATTCGGCCGGTGACACAGATCCAGCTCAGCACTGGAGCCCGGTTCCTGGGAGCGGCTCCCGCG